AAGTGATTCATGTTTCAAGGGTGCATGCAGTTCCCATAGCCAGAGAAACCTATTTAGGGTCCCCAAAGTGGTTGCAAGCAGAGATTAAACATCCATTTCTGTTAAAGAGAGGAAATCAGTATTACGCAGCCCATGGTACAGAAATACCCATGTGTCTTAGAAGAATAGGACATTCAGGTTGTCAAATTTGCAGAGCCAATCATGCCCCTATCAGACCTGCCAGCGAATGCGTTAGAAAGATCCAAATTGGAGAAAACGAAGAAGCAATTCGAGAGGCATGTCCTATGAGACCAATAGTCAGCCCTGAAAATATGGTAGTTCAGTTAGATAGGGACGAATTTGCGTATATAGATACAGACAAGGGAAGGGTAACTCAATATTGTGCTGAAAGTGAAAATGGAACAGTTCCTGCGTCTGAGAACTCATACGAGTTACCGTATTCTGGTATCCTGAAATTTAATCAAAATTGTAGATATACTTTAGTGAAAAGGGAAGGGTAACTCAATATTGTGCCGAAAGTGAAAATGGAACAGTGCCTGCGTCTGAGAACTCATACGAGTTACCGTATTCTGGTATCCTGAAATTTAATCAAAATTGTAGATATACTTTAGTGAACGGACCATTCAAGGAAATTCTACCCAAACTAGAAAATGTGGAGATAAACGCTGTAGAAGAAATTCCAGCTTTTAAACCATGAAGTTCAGTAGCTGAAGATATTAGCGAACTCCAAATTCATTTTAGAGATCATGGATGCATTTATCTAATAGTGTCAGTAATACTATTGTCTATCATACTAATCAGTATCATGTATTTATGTTTCGCAAAAATACGGTACGTTATCATTCAAAGACGCAGAAGAAATGCAAACATTATAGAAAGCGCAAGTATTGAATTGATACCCTCCAGGAGTGCTCCATTGGCTCCTCAGTACCCCAGATTGCAAATTAGTGCTTCGACAGGTTTAATGGTGATCAAGTAATATACGCAAGAACACCCCTTGAAAGTTTTGATCCGAGATGATCTTAACCCTGATCCTAACACACCATAAGTCCAATACGAAACACACGAAAATACAAAAATAGGTTTGAGTCAAACCAACACACAATATGCTGGAATGAAATATGGAATGGTGGATATTGTGTGTGACTGCCTTATACTTGCTTTATTTTTACTCATTGAAAGAGGATCCCGAACACCTAGATGAAGAGGAATGCCCAAAATTGCTGTGGAAAGACAAAAACAAAAAGGAGAGAAAAATCAAGGAATGGAGGATCAACATATCTTTATTCATGTCCTCCTAACAACATCAACTCTCTAATTGCGTCAAATACATGCGCGCAAAGACTAACTAGACTTCTCCCACAGTATAAAAACTGGAGAGGCTTCCACTATGAACAACCTGGCCAGAACCAGGTCGAGTGCGACAAAAGGTGGGGTGGCTAGAACAAATCTTCGCCAACACCCAAGCACGAAGGAGAGGCCAAGTCCACCTGGCGAGCAACTCTTCCCCAGACAGGGCTTTGGACTGGACCTGATAACAAAAGAAGGTCAAGCCAAAGCAAAACAAGCAAGCAGTAACAGACACTCACTGAAAGAGGACATCAAAGGCCTCACTGTGGCAAGAGAAGGAGCCTCAGCCATCTCCAATTCCTCAAACAAAGGATTCAGAACTGACTGAGGCGCCTCTTCCAATTGATTTTCTGCCTCTGATTTGCTCTAACAATTTAACCCAGCACACAAGAAGCACAGCAATAGCAAAAAGTCCAAAAACCCATTAGAAATATGGCTAACCTTCCACCACAAAAAACTACACACCTTCAATTTTATCCTTTTGCAACAGCAGATTGTAAGTACTGCAAAGGGAGATCCAACCCCAAATACTCCAATTACCCAAACTAAAGCCTCCAGTAACCACTGTGGAAACTCTGCATGGATAACTGAACCATCAGGGAAAACTGCAGAAATATTCAGTTAGGAAATAGACAGGTTTTTAGATTTTTCTGCAATATCTGACAGGGTCCCCCTAGTAGTTTTGGAAGGGATCTCCTCTATTGGCACCACCTCCTCTACAGGTACCATCTCCACTGTTTGTTCTAACTGGGTTTCAGGCACAACAGTCACAACATCATTTTTATTAAAAACACTGTTGTCTTGATCCTGGATGGTAACAGTTTCTTCCTCCCAAGGTACTGTTGTAGGTTGACTTGTGGTGCTGATCCTTTGCTTGATTACAGCTGATGAGGTCAGTGGTGTTGTTGATGATGTTCTGTGCAGTGAAGTCTTCTGAACAGGTTTTGAAGTCCTGAGCTCCTCCTTGACTGTTTTTTGTTTCTCTGAAAAAATGAAAAAGTTGAATCAATAGGCTCTAAGGTGATTTTTTAGCAACTTACTTGTGTGTTTGAAAAAACAGGGACTCCAAGGTCTCACTATTTCTTCCATGCCTAGAATTTTCCCCGAACAGAAAGTCCTGTTGAATAACCTGACTTCCTGAAAAGATACAAGAAAAAAGTTCAAGCTATGTTATCTTTTTATTTTTCAGGAGGAACTCACCTTGAGACCTTTATACCTAATGCAGTCCAAGTCCAAGGAGTCTCCAACAAAGTCCACTTGAAATTTGTGAAGAGCAGGTCTTCTAACTTCACAAATATCTTCACAGGCAAGCCTGCCTCCAACTTCTGCTCAGGAACTACCTTCACCATCTTGAGGAGACACCAACAAGACCTAGAAAATATTGAATGCATTTAAAAATCCATATTTTCACTGTTTTGGTGCAAAAACTTACCCAAAGAAGTGTAGATGTCACTGCTAGACAAAGTCCCATTTTGCTCCTTTTTGTTGATGTTTCTGCTTCCTGGAAGATGAGTGACTTGTTTT